ACTGACCAAAAGACAATGAGTAAGAGAGAGAGAAACAAAGAAAACTCAAAATTACTAAATCAGAAATGAAAAAGCAGATATAACTATCAACCTTTTAGAAATGAAAAGAAGAAAGAACTACAAACCATTGTAAAACAAATTAGTTAACCTCAATGAAGAGGAAAAATTAAGAATAGAAGGACATTTATAAAGGAACCTACAGGTAGCATCATATAATGGTGACAGACTAACTGCTTTCCTCCTAACATGTCAGCTTTAACCACTTCTATTCAATATTGTACTGGATGGACTAGCTAGGTTAATCTGGCAAGCAAAATAAATGGAAAGGAAAAAGTAAAACAAGCTGTATTCATTAATAGATGTGACATGATTTTATAGAGAAAATTATAAGGGCTCCATATAAAAATGGTTACAGAAAATAAGCATATTCAACAGTTATAGGATACAAGATCAACACAAATTATCAAAAATAATTTGTACTTCTATATAGTAACACTGTAAAGTCATAGAATACAAGATCAACAAAAATGATAAAAAACCATTTGTATTTCCCTACACTAGCAATGAACACTTTCCTAAAAGGAAGTTAAGAAAATAATTCCATTTACAATAACATGAAAAGAATACTTAAGAACAAATTTATCCAAGGAAGAGAAAGACTCGTATATAGAAAACTGCAAATCATTGTGTAAACAAATGCAAGAAGACTTAAAAAAAAAAAAGGAAAGATGTACCATGTTTATGTACTGGAAGGTTTAATACTGCTATCACATCAACATTAACAAAAGGAATCTACAGATGCAATGCAACCGCTATCAAAATCCCAATGACCTTTTTTGCAGAAATGGAAAAGTCAACCCTCAAATTCATAGAGAACTGCAAGAATCCCCAAATGGACCCTTGAAAAGAACAAAGTAAGAGAACTCACATCTTCCAATTTCAAAACCTAAGAAATCTATTATTATAAAACTACAGATATCAAAATAGTATGAAATTGATATAAGAAGGACATAGACTATTAGAATAGAATAAAAATAAACCTATACATCTATGGTTAAATTATTTTTAACAAAGTTACTAAGAACATTCAATGGAAGAAAGAATAATAGTTTCTTCAACAAAAATTGTACTGGCACACTTTGATATGCACAGGCAAAAGAATGAAACCTGTATCTCATTATACAAAAAAATTAACTCAAAATGAATCGAAGATCTAAATATAATAGCAAAAATTATACAATTCTTATAAGAAAACATAAGGGTAAATCTTCATGAGTTTGGATCTTGCACAACATAAAACAAAAATAGATAAAGTGGACTTCATCAAAATAAAAAAAAATTTTGTGTAGTAAAGACACTATCAACAAAGTGAAAACACAACCCACAGAAAGAGAGCAATTATTTTCAAACCATATACCAAAGGGTCTAGTAAACAGAATATATAAAGAACTCTTACAATTAAACAACAGGGACAAATATCCTGTTTTTAAAAATGGGCTAAGGTAAAAGGATCCCTGGTGGTACAATGGTTAAGCACTTGATCACTAAATGAAAGGTTGGCAGTTTGATCACAGTCAAGAAAATCTCATAGGGCAGTTATTCTCTGTCAAATGTTATTGCTATGAGTAAAAAATCAATTTGATGGCACTCAAGTTTTTTATAAGAACAAGAAATCAATTACAACCAAAAATGGGGTAAGGACTTGAATTGACATTTTTCCAAAGAATATAAGCAAATGGCTCACAAGATAATGATAATTAATCAACAACATTCATCACTAGGGAAATGTAAATCAAAACCATAATGACATATCTACTAGGATGGCTATACACATGGACCTCGCCAGATGGAACACATAGAAATCAAATTGACTACATGTGTGGAAGGAGAAGATGGAAAAGCTCCATTTCATCAGTGAAGACAAGGCCAGGGGCAGACTGTGGAACAGACCATCAATTACTGATATGCAAATTCAAA